GTGTGTGTGTGTGTGTGTGTGTGTGTGTGTGTGTGTGTGTGTGTGTGTGTGTGTGTGTGTGTGTGTGTGTGTGTGTCCATGACACCACTCTGTGTAGATAAACACAATATTCTCCCTAAAAGAAATGTGACAGAGACCTGGTTTTGTTCTGACCTGAAGACACTCATTTGTGCCAAACAGAGCGGTCCAGTTTGGGTTTTCTGTGAGGGCTCAGCTGAGATCTGCTGAGGAAGCTGGAAGCTTCAGAACCTGAGATGGACCAGAACCATTTTGGGAAAATGTCTTTTTTAATTACTGCAAACGAGAAGTTTGTCTCGACCCAGCAGGGTCTGCAGACGAGGTCATATGTTGAAGCTAAAATAAGGTTTTGTCTCAAAGATCAGCTTCACTTGGAAGTGAGACATGACAGGTGGTGGTCCAAAGGTCATATCAGGGTCATGGTTCATGCTACACAACAACACAGACAGTACACAACAACTCAGACACTACACAACAACTCAGACACTACACAACAACGCAGACACTACACAAAGACACAGACACAACAACGCAGACACTACACAACAATGCAGACACTACACAACAACGCAGACACTACACAACAATGCAGACACTACACAACAACGCAGACACTACACAACAATGCAGACACTACACAACAACAATACAGACACTACACAACAACTCCGACACTAGTAGTATCTGTGTCGTTGTGTAGTGTCTGCGATGTGTAGTGTCTGTGTCGTTGTGTAGTGTCTGCATTGTTGTGTAGTGTCTGCATTGTTGTGTAGTGTCTGTGTCGTGTAGTGTCTGTGTCGTTTTGTAGTGTCTGTGTCGTTTTGTAGTGTCTTTGTCGTTGTGTAGTGTCTGTGTTGTTGTGTAGTGTCACACTACACAACAACTCAGACACTACACAACAACGCAGACATTACGCAATGACACAGACACAACAACGCAGACACTACACAACAACGCAGACACTACACAACAATACAGACACTACACAACAACGCAGACACTACAGAAGATCTTTCCTGCCCACAGCCAGCACCATCTACAATAAGTCTTAAGTTAAATCCAGCAGGTAAAATAAGTATTGAACACGTCACCATTTTTCTCAGTAAATATATTACTAGAGGTGCTAATGACATGAAATTTTCACCAGATGTCGG